CTCAAGATCCTAATTTGGGATGAACGGGTATGGAAAATGAATGGATGCCAAGTGACATTTAAACAAAAACAAAAAAAAACATTTTCTGTATCTTTTTCATCCATTTCAGAAGAAGAAATCCATGCTGTTTTTCATGTTGGGTCTGTTTTAAACGGTGAAATGTTCATTCTCCCAGTGAGACTGTCAGCCCACCTGTCAGGAAACTTCCTGCCTCTTCAAATATAACCACTCGTGACAGCTCTCTAAAGCATGTTATTTCTATCAGGTGCTTCACACAACCTGAACATCAGGCTTCCTGATCCAAGAGAATTATGCAGCACTGTGTTGAAATATGAATATGCCCATTATCTAAAATACATTTATAAATTAATAATCACCGTGCTGATAAGCATGACAAAATAAAGCAAACAATTAATTCTCTAAAGGGTTTATGTACATAGATATGTAATAAGAGAAACATATATTTATCAAAATATTTGCCACTTACTAATTTTTCTTCATTTATTAACTAAATACATATTTTGTTATCGTTTCATATGTTCTTCTTTGTTTTTAACGATTAAAATGTCTGATTTAGTCTAAATATTTAGCTGACTTACCACTTTCCATTTAGTCTGTTATTTCTGAGAGAGAATGAGAGAAGAAAATGCAGATTTTTAAAGAAGCCATCAAAATGCAGCTCAGTTGTCTCACCACCATTCATTCTCAACATGCCCAGGAGACCTAACCCACTTCATGCTGCAATTTGTCTCAGTGACATCCCCCATCACTTGTATCTTTTTCTGCCACTGACACCATAAATATGCTTGGATGACCTCAATAACGAAGGAAAGATCATTTCCGCCTATTCCTCTGTCCATGAGTATACTGTTCAAACACAGTACAAACAATAGAGATCAACAGAATGGCTCTGTGTTGATTCATTCACATACTTTTACAGACTTGGAAGGCAATGGTGGCATAACTCAACTCGGGAATTGCAAAGACATGGTCATATGAAAGCCGATATCCTTAAAGGAACAGACTGAAGCTAAAAAATAATATTTTCAGACATGACAATGACACAACAATTCAATCCATCAAAATTCTGCACTGGACAGCACACAAGATCGGTTGGGGCCAAATGGGCTAATAATTATCAGCTTTACATTCAAATCAGAGCAGAGACAAAGCAGTAATGTCATTATGCTGCAGCAAAAGTGAGTTGAAGTTTCCTCAGTTATATTAAAAGATAGCTGAATCACAAACAAGGGGGACAGACCACAGGGGAAAAACGAGGAGTGCTTTCAACGAAAATCCATTTAATCAGACAAAAGTACACACAATACTATTATCAAGTCGAGCAGTGGCGACAGGAATGCCTCAGGGCCAGAGTCAATCACTCAGCTTTATAAAAGACAGGTTTGAAATATCTAAATGGCTTTGTGACCCCATTAACGCAGCATGGTAGAAAAATGTCATTACTCTACCAAAAGAAAAGAAAGGAAGACAAAGAAAACATTTATTTGTTGTGGTTACAAACGGAGAATTTTACGTTACTTATTTTTACATTGCTTAAAATATAGACTTTCCTCAGCTTGTATGCCAACATCCACAACATCCATACCAACCTTGTTTTTAGGAATCCAGTGAAATTGTTCAAGGGGAGTTCTTAGCCATGCAAATCTAAGCATCCCATTTGCATAGATGTCACTTCTGTTTGGCATACTCTATGTTCAATAGGAAGCATAATTCAAAACTTTCCTAAAGTCTTTTTCATTCAGAGATAAGTTATTTTAAGACATGCCTCTCTTTGTGAATTGATATGTAGACCTTTTTTTTAAACTAAAGGTGAAAGAAAGTGTGCTCTCATTCTGAGAGTACCTGGTGCATCACAAAAAGAAGAGATTTTTTAATGTATGTTAATGCATGTCAACTAACGCTGTACGCTGTGGCCTCATTACCAGCAGGAGGTGAATTCTTTTTAGGGATAGACTTGTTAATGCATGCACATACTAAATGGCCTGGAAAAAAAAGCAGCAAAACAATCGTCTCCAAACAAAGGCAGCGGTGCCGCAGGGTGCACCGTAGCATCCAGGCATCAGAAGTTCAAATCTACATATGAATGGGTGGCAAGATATGGCTATCAACATTTGAATGAGTTGAAACGGAGCACTTAAATCAGCAATAATGTTTAGTTAGACATGCTGGCCGAATCTGCAGGGATTAAATGTAACAAAGTCAAGTTCAAGTTTTCATAGGCTGAGCGAACAAGATTTGATAAAAGTCAAAACCTATGCTGTTCTCTGCCATTATCCTGTGAGATCTAAATAAAGATGCATTAAGGTTACATGCTGATACTTCAGTTCTGCATCAAGACCGTGCAGCTAAATGGTAATAAAATCAACCACAAAAGAGAACAAAGCCTCTCAGTGACATCACACCGGCAGCGACAAAGAGATTTGTTTCAAGATTAGTTTAGGCAACATGAAAATGTGCCTCGTGCATTTCAGCGGCAGCAAAGCGAGTGAGCAGGAGTGTGTGCATGCATCAAAGGCATCAAGAGCAGGGCCACAAAAACAGGTCGTGGAGCAGATCAGTCTACAAACAGCCACAAACTGTTTCATGTTTGTTTATGATGATCATCTGATTTACAAAAGGTATGAGATTAAAAATGAAAAGCATGTTTTTTTCTCACCTTCAATTCCAAATGATTAAGGTATGATGCACACATTTTCAAATAGAATGTTAGCACTTTTCAAAATCCATCTTAGAGTCTCTCAGTTCTAGTGTTGTGACATTTTTCCATAAAAAAGATTTTAGCTCTTGAGGATTCAAGGGGCCATTGTGTGGTCTATGAACACATTTTCTAAGATTTACAGTTAAATTTGAAGTATGTCTCAGATGAATACCATCCCATTGCTCTTGTTGTAACTGTGGAGTTTGATTTGCATAACCTCTCTGGTTGAAGCAATGCAGTTTATCTATTCGATGTAATCCACTGAAACAATCGTTCATGGTTACATCGAATGAGGAACCAAGGTGTGTGATTGCATCATCAAGATTGAGCCATTAGGTGTATTGGTTGAGTTTATTTGGATTTGGATTTAACACCTCATATTACCCTGCACGCCCAAGACCAGTAACAATTATCAACCTTGATATGTGCTACTGAATCAGCTTTTCTCTCTGATACAAAAGTCTTCAAATGAAAACAAATTGAGTCCACCTCCCCTAAAGAAATCCTTTTAAAGTTTCCTCACTGGAAATGTCTGCTCCAGCCTGGATGGGTGTGTAATCTTGATAATCATGGAGCACCAGGGGATTTCCCTGACCACAATGAGTTGCTCCTCCTAAAAGAACGAGCGAGCAACATTAACTACCGCCTGGTGATGAGACTCAGGTTGATTTAACCCATTGGCTGGCACAGATAAATGCCTTCACACCACACATGATATAGATAGTGACCCATTTGCCCTTTCATTGCCTATTCATGCTCACAACCACATCCTCTCCGCAAAGTCTACATTTACTTTGCCTTGGACTGCACTGTCTATAGTTATTGATCACACAACGCTCCCAGCGCTAATTTAATGCCCATGATATGTTCTGTCATTGGGGGGAAGGGGCGTATTGATTAACGTACAGTTGTGCTGAAGGCACTACAGCAGCGCTCCACAACAAGGAAATAATTAAGTCTAAAGAACCTCCTAAAGCATCGTGATTGGCTTCCTTACTCAAAGTGTCTTTGCAGTTCACTGTCCTGACCACACAAATAAAGATCAGTAGCTCATTACTCAACACTAGTCCCCATAAAAGTATTAACCTAGCTCGTATTTCCCTTGGGGCAGGAAATGGATCTTGTTGCGTGACTGATTATCATGCAAAACAATGTCTACAAACACATTTGTTACATACTATTTCCACATCAGAAACTCATTATTAAAAATCAGCATGAAATGTACTTTAATAAATAAGGAGGCAGCAATAATCTAACACGGAAGACTAATTTAAAGAAATCTGCTCACAGCACATTCTTTTTTACAGAATGTTCAGTGTTGTAGGAAATCAAAGAAAAAAGACACATGGGGGATCAAACAGCATTAGAAACAGGGCTGCTTTGCTCTGTCACCTCAGGCACAGCAGTTCAACAGATAAATGCTGCTGTATTTTTACTGGCAAAGTGGAAGGTCCCCTCATTGACAAGCCTTGCCAAATCCGTGGTTTTGCTGCCACCTGGTGGCAACTATTCAGAATACATAAATATTAAATATGAATTCAAATATTAATATGAATACCATATATGAAAGAAAGCAGTACAGGGTCCTTTTTAATACACAATCACCACCAGCAATCACAACAAAACATGAAGATGGTTGTAAAAAATTCCATTACATCAAAAGAAGACAAAGGTATAAATGTCAACAGATGTGTTTTTGTTTGTCTGGATGCAACTTTATAGTAAAAAAAAAAAAAACAGCTCTGCTTTGGGTGGGTATCCATCCACAATCACCAGTAATAGCAAAGATTAACTTCAAATATATATTTGGAAAATCAAATGTGCTTGAACGGAGCTGAGGTAATAGCTGTTCTTTATTCTGGTGTGTTGACAAATGTCAAATTTCTTTTTTCCATTTTCTTTGAACATTGTGCTCAGCTTAATGAAAAAAGTGTTTCGTCAGCACATTGTCCTCTTCGATATTTCAGCACCATATTTTGGTTTGTAACTTTATACTTATAGTTGAAATCCACTTTGTAACTGTATTTTAAATACGCTTATCCATAAAAGGCATATTAGAAATTCAGAAAAAGCTGTGAGGGACGAAACTGAGATGAGATTTTGTTCTGGGAGAATATTTACAGTCCCAGCTGAGAAGTCCTTTCAGAGAACAGCTAGTAGGTTTTTGTTCGGCCACAAACTGCCACAGCTGCCTTTAACAGGATTTCAGATAACTGAAATTAATTTGTTAAAATAACATGGCATAGATGGACAGCAGTTAAGCATGGCTCCTGTATTCAGCAACTCATACTTATATGCAATGTTATCATTGTAAACCCACATTAATTAGCATACTCTGGGACCCACAGGGATTTTGAACCAGCCTTGCCCTTCAGAGCCAACTCATTTTATGATCAAATAAAACAGTCATCTTAAAAATCATGCTAAATTAAAATGTTTTGGTTTCAGGGAGACACACTACAAAAAAATGGAAAATTACCCACTAAAAGCTCACATGAAACTCGCAACATGAACATAAAACAAGCAACAGGTATTTTTCTTAATTTGCATATATACAAAAACAGATACAAATCCAAAGCATAACCTTAAACGGTGATGAATAAAACAAAAAACTTGAAAAAATAATATTCATACTCAGATGTTAAATGCATGAATTACCAGAACATATTATATCATGTTTGGCATTACAGGCACACAAAACAAAAGCCGTTTTTTGGGATTATAAACAAAGAATCTAAAAAAACATTAAACAAGCTAACAAACAACAGAAAAGTGTAATTTTGCTACTTTTAACACTCAGAGTTGCTATGGCCATTTAAAGCTACGCTTCACAGACATAAAATTCCCACATCAAATGAACTCTCTACACCCACTGAAAGAAATCAGAGTTCAGTCTCTTAGGGAAAGGTCAGACGCTGAAACGTTGCCCATAAGTACTCTGTGATCCTAAACTTTGGAATTAAATAAATCATGTTTCTATCACATGGATTAGTGATTAAACTGAAATTAGTGATTAACTGAAACGTTTCAGTGCAAACAGACAGCAAAACCACAGCTTCCAAAAAGGGTGAAACCCACCTGATTAACATTTAACTTTATTCTTTCATTAGAGCTCCATAGCAGCAGATCAAAGGCACCTCTTATAATTTAAAAAACCTAATATGTATATATTTAACACGTACCATCCACGCACCTTTTAGCTGTGACTGATTACCGGCTACGTAGTCAGCTCATAATTTAAAATTATTCTCAAGCCAAAATCCATTCCAGTACACATCAGTATACCATTAACCTGCTGTCCTGACCTCTTCAATCACAAACTCACCGTTAGGAGTTTGTGATGAAAGCCAATGTTGTAATATGATTACTGTTCATGCCAATATGTTCAAGGACCAATGAAAGGCCATAGAAAGCTTTTAAATTTGTATTTCAAATACAAATACAAAAAATTAAACTTCATGACTGCCTCAACTTCTGTAAAGTTTCGAGCTATACAAACTCAATAACTTTCTGCACAACCGGAGAAAAAATACAGTATAATAGAGCAGTGACTGATTGACTAAAGCATGCAATAAAGACAGGTTCCATGAGCTGTAACGCCCACACAAAAGGGAAAGAATTCATCCTTTAGCATTTGTCTGAAATATAACATTTTACGGTATGAAGTGCAAGTTAGGCAGTCTCAGTTTTATAAAGATCTATAAATGACAGTTGTTTTAAACTTACATCTTTAGAAAAAAAAGATTAATTTATGTCTTGTTATAGGACACACAGAAAGTCGTGGTTGTGTCTTGGGTCATACTCTTGAAGTAAACAATTTTTCAGACATCGGATTGTCAAGGTTTTGTTTCTCCAGCAGAGGATCCACAGCATCCAGGTCCAAAGTTGGAGTTATGGCTGTTTTAAGTCTCTGAGGATAAAAGAAGTAAAAGCCGGGAAGACAGACAGAGTTAAGGAAGTAATCATTAAAAAGGATTCTCCATATTCAATAAACTCCAAAGCAACAGTGAGGATGGACACAGAACACATCTTATCTTCTCTCATTTCTTTCAGCTAATCAATTATTGTTCATTTTTATCCTCACACTTGCCTCTAAACTTGGTGTCTGTGCAAAAGAACAATGCTAAACTACCGCTGACTGAGGTAGTAATATAATAAGATAATCAGAGTGTTAACTCACCTGGACAAGTGATCCCTTGCTGTTGTAGATCTCATGAATTGCACCAAGAGGGACCCACACCACAGAAGCCAGTGAGATGCCCATGCCCATCCATTCAGCCCACAGTGGATATGCGTAATTCCCATAGCGAGGAGGGGCGTACTGAACAATGCTGGAGGTCAGTATGACCTACGCAAAGACAACAACACTTTTAAACAAATGCGTATAGAATTAAAAGAATTTGCAATAATTCAGACAATCCAAAAAGATTTCACATCTTGGAATGAATCAAGTATATTTTTCAATTCACTTCAGTTCGTGAGAACTTACCAACACCAGCAAAGGACAAAGCAGCAGCCAGCACAGGCGGAAGTAGATGCTTGGAGATTGGCCTAGCATTCTCTTGGTCATTAAGGACAGTCGTGGCACACCTGACACACAGAAAATAAGTGTTGATATCATGTGCACGATTTTAGACGGAACAAATATGTTCTTTAAGTTTTTTTGATGTGAACAAATGTCTTGAAATTGCTGACAAATTGCAATGTGCTGAAATCTAATCTGACCTAAGATACAGGACACCAGAAATGGGGAGGGGCCTTACTGATGTTTCACACAGAGCAACAGCATCCCACATATCATATTCTGACCACGTGGAAAAAAATCCATGACCATGAGATGTGTTTTATAGCCACAATACAGTGGGGCATATCAAGTCTAACCCCTTTACCAGAACAAGGACATCTGTCTGTCAACTTAATATGGAATATTACCAAAGATCCAGCAAACAGTCACAACTTCAAAGAACGCCAAAAACATGAGCGAGACTACAGCGGTGCAGTGGTCCATCAGCTGAAACATGTAAATCCCTCCCTGTGGAGAGGAGAAAGAGATGATCCCAGTTAGGCAGCTGTTACCACACAAAGGCAGCCAAACATCCGCAACAGAAGGGGTAAATGGAGTGTTTCTTTTTGTACCTTTGTAATATGAGGAATCCCCAACAGAAAGCTGACAATGCACACAGCCAGGACGAGAAACTCCTCTCTCTTTAAGAAGCGCATAATATTGGCTCCAAACTCATCCCGTAAGAACGTCACCATCACCTCCACGTTACCAAACTGCAGACACAATACTTGTTTCTGTGAGCTCATAGCAGAAGCCCCAAATAAATAATTTTTCTCTTTGAATAAGTACATGCAAGGCTGCAACTGCAACTAAATGTAATTGTACCGTATGAATTTCTAGTAGTTTCCATCTATCACTCCAAAGTAGCTTCAAAGTAACAAAGGCAGGACGCTTATGCGACCAGAAAAGAAAAATTACAACAACACTTACTGTGATTACGCTGTACACTCATTACAATGAGTCAATGAGATTTTAATATATTTAAACAAAAGCAATAAAGTGAAGACTTGCAATTAAATGGCCAGGAACACATCCTGTGTAAAAATTCTGCTCACAAACATACCCTAATATGAAAACTGTCACAATGCACATGTATAAGCAGTTTCTAAGATTCAAGGTTCAAACGTCATGCTAAAATACATTAAAGTAATAATGAAAAAAGAATGAGGAAAATAAGCTGATCATGTTTACCAGACTGTCCAGGCCCAAGCAGAGCAGCATAAAGAAGAACAGTGAGGCCCATAGCTGAGAGACAGGCATGGTGGGGAGGACCTCTGGGTACACCACGAACACCAAACCAGGACCTAAAATATGACAACGCTAATGTGTGACTGTAGGGAACAATTCCTCATACATATAGACAACTTCAAACAATTTCCATTATCTTTAAAAGGGAAATCAATTTGTGTGCAATAAATGTAAATGCCTGAAATGAATAAAACCTTTTTTAGAGCGGTATTGACCTAATTTGTTGATTATATTATCATTATTATTGAGGAAAAGTCAATATATGGTGAGTAACGTTTAAAGTTAGTAAATTCCCATAGTTCACCCTCAAATAGACTGCCACATGATTCAAACCAGATGTTCACATCCTGAAATCTGTGTCATGTTTTTCCATGGAAAGTGGAAAAGTACTCCAAGGGAAGTGAAAACAAATACCATTCCACACACAGTTTGGAATCTGACTCCCGTTCTGTGGCATCTCGACATAACGTGATACAATATGAAGCCAGTGACTCTGCTGTGTCACTTAGACAACTAGGAAAAAACAAAGCCATGAATCTGTTGTGTAACAGCTCTTCCAGTGTTTACCGTCTGTAGCTATGTTGTCCACTGGCAGGTTATGTATGTAAGCCATGTAGCCAATGGCCGAGAAGATCACAAAGCCGGCCAGGACACTGGTGAATGAATTGACTAATGACACAATCAAAACATCCCTGAAAGAAAGAGACATTTAAAAATTACTCGAGCTCGCAAGGCAATCGCAGGGTCACACACAGACAAACAACCTGGCACACGGCCACTAGTCAATTTAAAACCACCTATTGACATGACACGCTTGATCTGGAGAACTATGAAACTTCACAGACCTGCTAGGATTCAAACATGGATCTTCCTTTATCGAGACCCATTAATGTCCATCCCCCACAAGTAACTAGTTATTGTTAATCAAGTAAAGTTTACACAAAAATGACACACTTTTCTCCTTTCATTTTTAGTTCCTAGTGAAAGAGGTATTATAGTTTTCAGAATAAAATCATTTCAATTTACCTGAGAATGTTGTTGTTGAACTTGTTATAGCTGGCCATTGAAATCATGGATCCGAATGATATCCCTAGTGAGTTAAAAACCTGTGCTGCTGCATTAACCCATACCTGCATTGGAGACAAAGCAAGAAAATAATTTTATTAATGGAAACAGGGACTGCTGGCTTTTGTCTGAACTACGAGGGGACTTGATATAATACACTGATAACAGATGCCTCAATCTGAAAATAAAACTGGTTGAAACCACATTTTGATTCCTTGCTGACCCACATAGATAAATTATGCATTAAACTTTACACCATTTATTACACACTACAGCTCGAGATAATGATTAATTTGTGTGATGTAGACATCAACACAGTTAACCCACTTTTCACTGTAACAGTCTAATTAAAGGAGTCTCACCTTTGCTTCAAACAGTCTGCTCCAGACAGGTGTGATAAAGTAGAGAATACCATCCTTCGCTCCGGGCAGCTGAACATTATTGATGAGCAGCGCAAACAGGATGAAGTATGGAAAGACAGCAGTGAAATACACCACCTATATGGCACAAACAGGGAGAAGCTGATGACAAACTAAATTTGTGTCTGTTGTGTTGCAGGAGTTGTTCTTATAAAAAAAACAGCCATGTTTTTTAGTCATTATCTCAGTCTGTTCCAGACCGTTATTCTATTAAACCATGTCCGAAAATTCTTCACATCCCAGACATGTATCAATGTATAAATACGTCTACAGAACTAAATGCAAGATAAAATGAGAGAATAATGATATCACAACATTAAATACAAAAAACATTTCACGTGCACTCAGATAGCATAAAAGCACCCGTCATGCTGACCTTGCCTGTTGATTTGACCCCTTTGAATATGCAGAAATAAATGATGACCCAAGCAATAAGAAGATAGCCAAAGAGTTCCCAGCGGATGCCACCAAGTTCTTCAATGCCACTGGTCTTCTCCAAAAGTTTGTGACTGGAAAAATGGAAAAGAAGGAACATCTACGTCATTTCAAATCATTCACTCAGTTGAAGCTTTTATCCAAAGCAGTATTCAGGCAGGAACACATTCTGGAAAACCTAAGAAATACGAGTCTGGGCCCTTACTGCCTGAAGCAAAATCAGATTCTTGTGTTGGCAGATCTCATTTAGCCTACAAAAGTATGTGAGAGCAACATCCTGTGAGAAAAAGAACCCTCATAAAGAAAAGCTTTCAGGGCTTACGGCACAATATGACCTGAGTGAGGGATTCTTGTGACAGAAGAGCAAAACAGAGTACAAACATTTAGACCTGAAAAAACAAACGAGAAAAAGCGGCGCCGGGTTCTCACTCAAAGAACTGCTGGCTGGAGGACTGGAGGTGGGTGCTGTTGCCAGGGAAACCATTGGAGCAGTTTTCGACAACGTTCCAAGTGTTGTTGCAGGATGTCCACGGAAGAGAAGCTTGGAATGAGTTGAACAAATAGTAAAGTGCCCAGCTCATGAGTATGTTGTAGTAGGTGCTGAATATGAAGGAGATGACAACTGTGGCCAGACCCACACCTGCAGAGCAACATGTGAGGGCAGAGAGAAACAAGTTAGAGACCACTCTGCAGAGGTCAGGCCATCTGTGGGAAAGAAATCAACCACTTAATCAACCTCTTATTGCAAATAGTACTTTGTTTTGATAATGTGGACCCAGGATAAAAAATGACAGGTGTGTGAACGCCAGAGGCAAAAAGGTAAATGCTGCATCATGCAGTCTAACTCAGCCGGAGATAAGAGGAATTCCTCAGGCCTTGCCTCTGAAACTCATCTGTGTTATGTGGCAGCAAGAGTCTCTTCATGAAATGAGTCAAGCTGAGATCAAAGTCCTACATTATTCAGTCTTTCAACAGCTGGCATTTATTGCTTTGTGCTCTAGGTTTCACATAAATCAATGCAAGACATGCGTTTTTATTTTTTACATTTTCTCTCAGAACATTCTGAGCAATGTCTCAGCCATTGAGGATGTCGATGTTTCCACTTTTACCAAATCCTCTTTTTTTCACAATTTAACCTACAAAAAGATCTGTAGTTATGTGCTGTGCTGAGCTTCTTTGTCACGCCGAATCCCTGTATCCCATTATTTGTGTAACTCTCTAAACCTGCCTGATCTCCAAAGGTAGCAGATGTCCTGATGTTAAGTGGAAATAAAGATGTTTCTTCGCAACTCTTTTTATAATCGCTTCACGGCTATTTTTTTTTTACCATGCTTTGACAGCTGGTGTGTTAGATGACTATTCAGATCATGCACACTAAAGCTGTATTTGACTGAGGAAAAATGATACAATATTACATTCAACAGTAAAAAAAAAAAAAAGTACAAACCTCTAGGATTAGCCTTGATATGAATGTGAATTTTCCACTTTGCAATGAATCTGTGAAAGTCTGATCCTTAAAATATATGAATGTGTGATCAAGGAGGAGATTTTTTTCAGGACTGAGGGATATGAGTAGTTAATGCTCATCAAGCTGGATTAAGCTTCTGAAATCATCTTTTAAGAGTCTTTAATACTAGAATCTGTGTCATTGTTACTCAGAAGTGCCCAGAAGTGACCAATCGACTAACAGAGAGGTGTGTAACATCACCAGGTCTTAAAATGTTTTTCTGTTACATGCTGCTAATGCTTGTCCATATCCAACGCACGAGAGGGGTAAAAAAAAAAAACACTTGTGTGCACAGGATGGCAAGAAGAAAAAGCCGCTGCTCTCCAAAAGAAAACACTGCCTCCATTTGCATATGTCAATGAACTCTGAGGAAAAAGTGGGTCATGCAGCAGAACAGAGTCTAAAACACAAAAGTTGATTTGTCAAAAAATGCTTTAAAAAGAATGAAGTCAGTGTTTTGGAATGACCAAGTCAAAGTGATAGTCTGATCCAGAAGAAACTGTTTTTGGAGGGACCTTGAAGAGGGACTTGACGAGAGAAAGCCAGGCTTCCAGCTGTTGTCTGAAGTACAAGGCTGATAATCTTCCAGGTCGAGGTTCAAGAAGCGTTTGTCTATGATATTTTGTTGAAGTTTTAGCCACACGAGGGGTCGTGTTATACCTTAAGGCAAATCCTCAGGTAGAGATATGTAGTATTGGACCAATTTCCTCAGAAAAAATGAATAGATCAAGTAAAAAACATGTCATTGTAGAGGTTGTGATGCCATGCCCCAATAGGTCCATGTCACCATCTGGTAATGTGGGCAACCCTGCGTCAGCCTAAAAAAAACGCACCATAGGACACTAGCTGGGGTTTCCGCGATCTGCAAGAACCCAGTGGTTGGTCCCAGTCTTTTCTGCTTCCTTTTCTATTGCCTGTTTGCCTCTCTCAGACTTGCACGGTTGGCTGATTCATGAACGCTAATGGAGTTTGTATGTTCACTTTGAACTATACACACTCCATGTGGCGCTTGTTGCAAAGTGCCGAAACAAATTAGGCTCCTGGGTGCAAAAAGAAAAAAAAAGAAAAAGGACAACATAAAAAATTATCTACATTTTCTTATACGTTTTCTTTTTTGTCCACAAAAAGCCCACAGGGCACCAATGAGAACAGAGAAATCACAGAATGGAAAAAAACATGTGAGCAGCTGTTCTGCATGTGTATGCTGAGTTTAAGTGCAGTAAATTAATCATGAGAACATTTGCTTGTTTGTGATATTTGTGGATGACTAAAAATTAGTGATCACATGTACATCACAGTAAACTGTAAGTGTTGCACAGGGAAATCATTCAGAAAAACATACAGAAAAAAAACTACCTGCTTTTGTCCCTTGTTTTGCACAGAGCATTAACCAGGGAGAAATGAGCGATAAATCAAGTGAAGGACCCAAACGTTTTGACCGGGTAGATTATCTCTGTCTTTAAGGAGATAAGAAAACTATGGAGAAAAATCTTAAGTTAGAACAGGACAGAAAGCATTTTCATGTAATACCCACATGTACTGATTGTTGATGGGTGGGCTCTTGTTTGATTTCAATAGAGATTTTTTTGAAAAGCTTTTCTAAAGGTTTAGATAAGAAATAATGAGAAATCTTTCATTTTAATGAAGATACCCATCCATTTTCTCTCCTGCAACTGCAGACTGACCCCTTCTTTTCCCATGAATACAGTTTAAGGGAAGAAGAAATTATGTGTGTTGCTGGTCTAGATAAATAGGAATGCTTGTAAAAGTACAATGATCTGGCTCTTGGAAAAAACAATCAGGGTGCCTTAACTGTGTTCGTGCCAGCACTTTCCCACAGCTGTTGCCTCCCTCTTTTGGCCCGTTCCTAAAACAACTTAGTGTCTTTTATGTCAAATAGAAAATGACAGTTTCTTCATTAAAATGGTGTTAAAGACACATGTTGTGAGTGCCATGCTTTTGATTACGTTTGTTTCATTGGCAACTGTGAAATTTTAAAGAACTCCAAACAGATTCTTGCAGTGATTGGAAGCTTCGTTTAACAAGTTCGCATCCATCAACAAATAAAGTCACTTAGTTAATCAGAGAGAGAGAGAAAAGGAACGACTTATGAAAAAACTCTTGGGTTTGTAGCATTGAACACAGCATTAGGAGATACTTCCAGCTAATTTAGTGAAACGGTTTCAGTGGCGATACATAGTATTGCCTAACAAAGATGCTAAAACCTTTGGTGAAAATTATCTTTACGTTGACAAAAAAAACAACCTACCCTCTCTGTTTATATATTGAGACTTGTTCCTTTCAAGAAGTGTTAATAAATTTGACATTAACAGATGTAAAATCTACTAACAGACTCCACTTATGACAATTCATCTCTTATGTTCATGCACATTTGTTAAAGAATGTACAAAGATTTAGATTTTTTTTTAATTAAGAGAACATTTTTTTCTATATGGTATTTTTCCATTCCATAAAAATGTTAGATTAACTAACCTGTAATTTGTCCATTGCAGGTGGACGCAGTCACTTGAGATAACACATTACTAATCTAAGCTAAAGAGGAGGCTTTCAGGACATATGAGATTTGGGATTTGTCACGGACAAGTCAATCATTTTCTTTTCTTTTCCTTTCAGTGTGCCTGTCAGACTGGGCATGTATAAAAAGATAACTTATTGACGTACAAAAGGGGTGTCTAACCCATCTTTTCAAGACTATGACTGCGCAAGATTTCTAAAAGAAACGATATGATGTAAACGTGACGCTTGCATCCGTGCCCATTTATCCTCCTGTGAATCAGCACTTATGTCATGTTCCTTATTCTGATAAACCTCAGAGAAGAAGTGGTTTTACATGTTTGTTTTAAAAGTGACTCACATCTTAAACTGTTCTAATTCTTTCTGATACGCTTTGCTAAATTTTAGATCCCTTAAAATAGCAGATGAGACTGAAATTTTACAGCTTTCCCTTTACAGGAACCAACTGTTTAGGAACTCATGGTTTACATCGTGCCTTGATCTGTTGCTGTTTATGGAACTGATGGTTAATGACTGATAATTGGTTTGGGATATTTACAAAAAGACATTGCCATTAATAGAATCATTTTTTTTCACAGTTATTCTCTAGGGGAAGTATTCCGGGTTCTGGTTTTGTAAGAACTATTTGCTCAATTTTTAGTTTTTTGCTTTTCTTTCATTAGATATTCTTTATAGGGAAAAGACTGCGCCTGCACATTTTTCTGCAATTTAAATCTTACAAAGGTTTTGTAAATCTTGACACTTAGATAGAATTGTTTTTGGTTGTTCACATGGGACAGGAAGGTAAAACACATTCAGCGAGAATGAAAGACATGGTCCCATCTCTCGAGAGGAGCCTCAGTACCTGAGGGCCTCGCTCACCTTTTAGCAAAGGGCAGATCTTGGCGAGAGCGTGAACTGGCCCTAAACGACTATACTGCCCGATAGCAAATTCCATGAAGAGCAGAGGAATGCCGCAAAGGAGCACCATGACGAGGTAGGGGACTATGAATGCACCTGAAACAGAGAAAGGTAAAAGGTCAGGATAGAGCTCCCAGGCATGTCCTGGGCATGTCGAATGTGTGTGCACAGCAAAGTACATTTGTGGGCACCTGGCGCAGTTCATTTGTACTATGACTACTGTCAAACCTTTTGTTATGGGTTGCGTTTTGAACACAAAGGGAGAGAACTTGGGAACACATGCACACTCTGAGTCAGGGTTAGGTCAGACCGAACAACCACCTGCCTCCCTTTTGGAGCAGCAACCCTAAGTATATGTGGCTTTTACCCAACTGATTAATGGACACCTACACACCACTGTATTATCCTGACAAAGAATAAAGGGTTGGTGCCCATTTCAAGTACGTTGGTGACAGACTCAAACGTCAGCAGTGCACCTTTGTTCTCAACTTAAAGCAGCTAATGTAATAAGCTTGTTTATGACCTAGACCAGGGGTCACCAACCTTTTTGAAACGGAGGGCTACTTCATGGGTACTGAGTCACACGAAGGGCTACCAATTTGATACACTCTTCTGAAATAATACATTTCCTCAATATGCTTTTAGCTATACTTTATTAATAATCATTAATGATACTCATTTGTGACAACAGTGACAGCAAAATGGGAAACATATCAATATCCACCACTTTATCTCTGTTTATCTCAGCAACTGTTAACTTTTTAAATGATCACTTACTGTACATCACTACATTTACATAGGAGTTTTCATTTTCACTAGCCACTGACAAAACCTTTTAACAAATCATGAACTATGTTGCACCATGTTTCAAAAAGTTATCAATTATCTAAGGTTAAAGAAAAATCTACTCACATATTAAAAAGAAATCTGAAATCTCATGACCAAATCTTTAACAGATTGGCATTGCATGCTGTTCACCAGTGTATTGTAATCTGGTGTGTAACTTGACACTGCAACTGTGAGTGAGTGCATATTTCAGATGTGATTTTTCTGCCCGTTTCCGGTGGGTAGTTAGCATGCTAGCTTTTGTGACACGAACATTGTGCCGCTTTGCCGTCGCCACAGTTGCCCCGCAAATCAGACACACGCAGGTTTCTTTTACAGTCGTAAAAAATAACTCCTCCTCCCATTCGTTGTGAAAGTGATAAGTTTTCTTTCGTTTTTCTCCCATGTTTTTGGGGTAAGAAACTACACCCATCTCCGTTGTGCCCGCTAGCTTACTCTCCACTGACACTGGTTTTGTTTTGTCACATGCACAATACTGACCTTTGAACTAGAGAAAACTTAAACTTAATATATAATGAACATATTTTTAAGATATTGTCATTTTAAATCAAATCTATATGAATGCAAGTGTGATTAAAAAAGATTAGCAACGGAACAAAATTACATTTTAGACGCTGCTCACTATTGAGTTGTGCTATTTTTAGAACAGGCCTGCGGGCGCCTCGGGTGGTCCGTGCGGGCGACCTGGTGCCCGCGGGCACCGTGTTGGTGACCCCTGACCTAGACTATAGTTAAGCCATGTGAAAAGGCATGTGGCTCATATAGGTATTTCAAACTTTGACGGGTGTGTCTTGCATAGAAAAAAACATACCTGTATCAGTTAGTCATGGGGCTTTATGGGCAAAATGATACTCTTTTGACTCTATACTAATGGATAACACTACTGTCACTGTTATCCATATTATGTTAACACGTTTTTTTTTTTTTTTTTTTTTTTTTTTTGCTCTGGGGGGTTTTCAGGCAGCAAGGCAACCTGTTAGTTCAGTTTTAGTAATTTCCTCACGCCTGTTGCAGTTCACATCAGTCACAGTGGTTCGGTCCTCTTACCTCCACCGCTGCTGTAGCACAGAAACGGAAATCTCCAGACATTGCCCAGACCCACCGCGTAGCCCACCGTGGCCAGGATGAACTCCAGCTGGCCGCTCCACGTGGGTCTCTGAGCCTCCGCGCCGGCGATGCTTTTGGCATCCAAAGGTCGGACGTCACAGTCCCTCTCATCACAGGGTGGCTTTGAGCTCTCCATCTCCATAAGGCGGGTAGATGTGTAGATTAAAGGCATGGGGTTTTGGATCCCCAATTCTAACTAGGATGCTCTCCACAAGAGCGATCGCGCATTCACTGTAAAGGACAGGCCTGCTCACACCCCCGCCGATTCAGCCGACTGGACCTCTTCCGAATATCATATAACACATGAAACCTACACGATTGCCGAGATCATGATCAGTACTTCCTGGAAAAAAAAATTTAACGACCAGATGAAATAATGCCAGCCAGTGGATGCCGGCCCCAGCTCAGCAGCACCGGTGACATGCATGTGCAGACTGCGCACAGCCAGAGTTACCGGTTCTCATAACAGAGGTCTTGTGTAATGTGACTCAGCTACGAGCGTCCTTCTCCATGCTCACCGGCCGGCTGGTGTCTGCCGGCGGGCGGAGTCCCCGGCAGCACGCCCATTTCCTGAACGAGGGCTCAATCACAGGGGGCTGAAAGCCAGGAGTGTGTGCAGGACCGCAGGGCTCCGCCACGACTGAAGGAACCATGGAAAAATACACTGTCCCAGTCCTGTCTAAACCCAGCCCGAGAGCTGGAGGTGGGTCCGGGGAAGGAAAATGAGATGGAAATATTTCCGTACCTTTTGTGGGTCTAATATATGGAAATAGATGGAAATCTGGCTGGACTTCTCTCTTTCACCTGTCCACATACCAAGCGTTTGGGGAGGGATGAGAGGATATTATCCTATTCTATATATTATCTAAATTTTCCTTTGATGGACATAAAACTTGTAGTTTGATGTAATATTTCCGACCTGCTACGTTGATATATATAAAGGATGGAAAATATTGTGCCTGTCAGGTGTAGAGAAACTTTCATCTGAATGATCTGTGGGTCTATGTTTACCTTTGGTTTGGAAGCAGTCATGCATAACATGGTACCACAGTTAGCCATGAGAAGACATGTCTGACCACTACCAGATCATGTCTGGTTTCCGTGGTGTCTTCACAGTCCTCATCTGTTGACCCCAATGACTTGGCAAATGTGTGTTTTCAGCTCAGCCCGCAGTATTTGCTTTTGCCGCAATACCATAAGCTAGCAAAATCCTCCCCTTCAAGTTAGTCACATAGTTGCTGTAAGCTGCAATAAGCCTCACTGTCATTAATCCTGGCAGACAAACAACATCATCTATATTCATGCTTACGTAAAATAATGGTCCAGATTTATGTACGTTGTTTTTTTATTATTATTTTATTGATATAAAGAAATACAGAGATTCTCTTTTTTAGGACGTTTGCCCTGGGGAGCTGGACGTTTGTTTTTCTCCAAACCACCTGGAGATTTTTGCTCTGGCCGGTAGGTGGCGCCAGCGCCCCTCGCTTCCACAGACCGGAGCTCGGCTCTCTCGCGCTTCCAGGTGCTGCAGCTGATCCCTCTCGCTCTCCGTACAGGAATGTGGAGACTACATTACGTCACTCGTCCTCCCAGCGGCGAGAGAGAGCGGCCGGGGACCCAGGAGGAATTTCTTCGCCTTTTCAGCGGAGGCTTAGAGGAACCGTGCCGTAGTGGGAGCTGATAGTTTGGGAGTCTTGGGCCGGTGGAAGCCGAGGAGGGATGAACGTCTGAAGCGGCACTTGACAGCTCTATTGTCTCAGTATGAGACGTTCGTAGAAGGTCCTGAATCTCGACGACGCTCTCGCAGAGTAGATGGAGGAGTCAGAGAGTAAGAACACTTTCAAGCTGTAACTTCACACCGAAACGCGTTACATTGTTTCCATATGAAAGAAAAAATGTTGCATGTTTAACAGTATGTTGATTCACTGCAGCAAGATTTAAACCTAGGTTTTTAAACGCATCGTTTTTAAACGCTCGTGCGCAGATGTTGTTTTTCCTTCTCGGACTCGCTTTACGCTATTTTTCGACGACTTTTTTTGTCGTTATTGTTGCCTCTTCGGAATTTAATGAGGCCTGTTTTCATTCCTTTGCAGATGAGTGCAACTGTGCGGGCTGTGGAGGAAAGATTCAAGACTCGTTTCACATGAAAGTCCTCCAGGACACCTGGCACAGCGCCTGCTTTCAGTAAGTGCTCCCAGGTTGGGATTTGAGGCACGCCTCTCTGTTAAAGAGCGGAGATTTGTCAGTCCGGTCTGATGAGGGACGCATTGATATGCACACAATGACCTTTTTCTGTGGGTCGACGTGTTTGCTCCTTTCTCTGTTTTGAATGCACTTGTGGACGGTCCCAGAAGCTTCGGCCTTCCAACCCAAGCCTGGGCCGACATCTGTGTTTGTGTCTGCCCTCACTAAACAGCCCAGCAGACCATCTCACTGACCAGCACAGGCAGCAGGTCCATGTGTGGATGCTCCTGCTCCCCAGCAGGACTTTGCCCCCTCACTGCGGAGGCTTAATGATTTCAACAGTGGAAACACTGTGAGCTCTGTGGTGGTCACAGGTCACCTAACCTCAATGGGACGTTGTTTCGGGGCCAATGAACCTACATGCGTGTACATTTTGTTCATGCCAAACTAGATATAGCACTCTGAGGGTTTTCCCCTTGGCCAGCAGGCAACATTCACTTGTTTCCATTTGAGACTGCAGGGCTGAAGCATGAGAGTACGCAGTGGGGGTTCCAGCTGCCTTTTTTGTGTGGAACTGTAATAACTGACTCCATTACTGTCAGACCCAGCTGCACCATGTCCTGATGGGAAGACATTTAATGCAGTTTGACACATTCTAAGATTTTTGTCAGAGGGAGTACCCCAAAAAAAGGATTCTGCCATTCTTTAAAAAAGAGCTTTATTTGTTTGTTTTTATTAAACAAAAACAGATTTCTGGTAAACAAATGCAAAATTCCTCCTAACAGTATTTGCTGACTTTTCTTCCAACAAACTCCTGACCGCCTGAAAGTAGCCTGCAAACACGTGTGTTCCATAAGATTATTGAATAAAGCATATTGAAAGCAAATTGCCCAAGACGGTTTCAGAATGCCACTGACTAACAATAATGCAGATTTTCTAGAATGCAAATAAATTACATTTAAACTCCCAACTCATATTTCCATTTAAGATAATTGTGGATTCCATGTTTCTGCATTCCAGAAGTGCTCATTGTCTAAGATAAATAGTTTTGAAGTCTGTTAAAAGTCTAAATGTTCAAAATAAAAAAGAATAATTTGTTTTAAAAAAAGGCTGCTCATAATCTGGCATGTGCTCTTTCCAAACACACTCTGTACTGCAGAACATTGCAGCTTCTTGTGTCATTTCAGAGCCAAATTTTCTGCTGCTACAATGCTCTCTGCAGACTCTCCTTAACTCTTCCACTTGCACGAGCTCTGCCGGTTTTCTCACCTTCCCCAGCAGTCTTTGAAGGGCTACAAACATCAGACATTTCCTCGTGTTTTTGTCCACAGTTTTCGAGACATCCTCACCACCACAAACGAACATCCTTATCTGTGTCGGCATTCTTTGCAAGACAAAGGTCCCGAAGAAAACAAAAATAAAAATGTCTTAGCTGAAAAAATACCCCCCTGCTGTTCCTGCTCTCCATTGTCCACAGGCTGCCACTCTGCCCTGCGTGCACCTCCACCTTGTGTAACATTCTTAGGAGCCGACGTCACTCTTGTTCCAGTAAACTCGCTGGTGTTGTGCAGACCCATAGGTAACGGCTTTTTTTGGCTCTGCCGCGTCCTGCATTCCTAGACGGCGATTCAGAGATGCGACTGAGCCTCTCAGACACTGCAGAAGCCTTTGTGTTTCACAGAAAAAAAAAGCTGGCAATTTCTTGGTCTTCACTCAGCGTGTTTTGGGCTGCAGATCTTATCATAATGCGTTGCCACAATGCAGGGTGGGGCATTTTGGTAGACTTAATCTATCCTGATTTAAGGCTCCTGCAGTATAAATCTCACTCTTAAGACTTGAGGAATTTGTTTAAGAACTCACAGAGATGGTTGACACATATTGTTTAGAGAAACGTGTTTTTCCTTGTGAATACATTTAGTATCTCATCTGGCTGCATGATACAGAAAATACTAGTTTCATCCATTGTTCGGTAGATCCAGAACATTTTAAATGTTCAGAGCAGCTTAAGAGGCTGCAGGAATTGCTGTGTTCAGAATTTGGGCGTCAAGGTGTCTGGCCGTCACTGATCACGCT